GGAAAAATGGGGGAAACAGATCAAAAATCCGGATAGACAAAACCCAACTCCAATTCAAATTCAAAATCTTTCAGCCCTTTTAGGGAGACAACCTTTTCCATGAGGTTTTAACTCATTCCGAAAGGGGAAAGGAGGGCGGACGGCTGGGATCGATCTCCCGTCCTTGGGACTCGACGTGGCGTCCATCCACACAAGTCAAGGACGGGAGACACGGCTGGCAGGATGAATTTGCAGGCGGCTTTGCCCTGCTATACGAGTAAAGTTGTTTGAGACTGAGGAAGAAGAAGCATAGCTGTACGATTCACGCGCAATTGACGTCGTTTGAGACTGTTGCTCGTTGTATGCTCACGCGTCGGACTGCTACTGTAAGGATTGTGTTGTTAACGTTGTGGATTTGCTCTGTACAGCTACTGGTTCTCTTGATAATGTTGAAATGAACGTTGCTATGTGTCTTTTAGAATTGGAATGGGGTGGGTCATAGAGGAAATGGGCTGGATGGGTCGGCTGGGAATTAATTGGGCTGGGAATATTAGTGGGCTGTTGGAATTTTATATTGGTGTATGTAATGTGTTTTGGGTTTGTTTAGTGGAATTAAAATAAGGAAAAATTAGCAATTAAGTCATAATACCTAACATAATTAGTTAAAATAACAACACTTTAAAATATTTATTTAAAATGACAGAATGACAATATTTTTATAAAATAACATGTATTCAGATTTTAGTATTTAAAATTAATTTTATTTATGGAAAGAGTCCTATATTGGACCTAATTATATACCATAACCGTTAAAAGAAAGAAAAATTAAACCAATAAACATTAACCTTTTTTCAACTCCATTCACGTTTCTTCCCCACTTTTCACGTTTCTTCCCCACCTTTCATGTTTCAAGTTTATCTTTCTTCAAGGTGCTAAATTGTTGTTCATCAAGCAATCTTCTTTATTGTTAAATGAATCTATTTATTAATTCAAACAGATTTATCGATTGACAAGGTAATTTCCATTATCCATTTTGATTTGATGTTTAAATCACTGATTCTATATATTACGGATTTTCAGTTGAATTTTTCAATTTTTATGTGATTTTGTTTAGTTATTCATCAAATGATTTTCAATTTTTTTCAAATTTTTTTGTGATTTTCTTTTAATTTTTCAGATTTTGGAGAATCTAGAAATTCATATGTATGTTTATTTTGTTTGATATTTAATACATTCTAATTTTTGATAATTTCGAAATTCAAATTATCAAAAAATTTGTCTTCATATTTGAGATTTAGTAGATTGTAGTAACTACATTAGCACACATACATCATATATTCTTTGATTTTTTTATACATTCATATTTAATAATTTCGAATTTTGCTTATAGGGTTACTAATGCACAAGTGAATACGGATTCGGATTCGGTTTTGATGGAAAAAAAATCGGAAAAAAGAACATAGTAGATGAAGAAGAAGAAGAAAGACAAAGTCAAAGAAGAAGGTTACAAAATTGTATTCATACCACAACTGTATTCCTATTAATTTTTGTTTGTCAATTGTTTTTCTTTTACTCATCATTTGTATTTTTATTTTAAAACATTGTATTTCTTTTTTAGTTTGTAGTAATTTAAATAGGTATATAATGTATTCGTCACAATTATGATTGAATACATAATTTATATAATTGTGACGAATACATTATAAGAAGGGAAATGGAAACTTATTGGTATTCATTTTTTCGTTTGAAATACAAAATCATACTGAAATACAACCTGATATTTGAAATACAAACTTAGTAAGACATATTTTGTATTTTATTTGGCTAAAGCAATATAATTTTAAGAATACATAATATATAAAATTGTGTGACGAATACATCACAAGAAGGGGAATACAAAATTATTGGTATTCATTTTGCGTTTGATATACAAAATGATATTGAAATACAACATGATATTTGAAATAAAAACTAAGCTAGAAAATACTTTCTGCAAATTTAAAGTGAAATAATAATATAACAAAATTGGATATTGAAATATAAATACAATTTATTTTGAATAAACTTATTCTATGTATTGTATATGTATTCATCGCAATTGTATTTTTCAATATCATTTTGATCTACATCTAATTTGTATTTATATTTTGGTATATACTACACAACTGCCTTTATTTTTGTACTTGAACTAGAATGCCAAAGAGTTCTATTCATAATAAATCAATACCAACATTTTTTGTATTTTAAATTAGTTATACATATCATTAGGTATTCGAATACATTTCGGATGAACACATATTCAAAGAAGTTCAAACATTTAAATATCCAAAACAGAGGGCATTAGAAATTTTCCAACACTTCCACTCATATAAGATATAAAATACAAACTACTGTTTCCAAAAATAAATTAAAATTCTTAAGAACAAAGAAAAAAACGCTAGAAAGAAAAATGGCAACATATGCTTTTTCAAAAACGTAACTGATGTTAAATTTTTTTAAAAAAATTACCTTTTTTGAAATTTTTGTTCCATGATTTTCTCTATTCAGTTATTAATTATCTGTATTCTTTCAAATTAATCAAAATAAAATAAATACATAACTCAATCCTTAACAAACTAAAATATTGACATTTTAAATAAATAGTGAAACTATTGCTAAGGAGTCCCATTAAAAGCTAAAATATTGTTGTTTTGAAAATTTTCCCTTAAAATAATGGGTTTGGGCTAAGAATGTGAGGAAATTAATGGAACCGGTGGGCTGGAAGAGTTGAGAGTGTGTCCATTGAATTGCGAATATAGCCAAATTGAAATTACTTAGCAAACTCGACTAACAAATAAGTAAAGACGAATTAATATAATTAACCAACGAGCTTTCTAATCTTAACGAAATAAAATAGTTAACTCAAACATAAACTAAATAATTTAAAATATAAACTATTATATAACTCAACTAACTAACCAAAATATTTAATTAAAAACAAAATCTTTTCGAGATGATTTTCAAATAATTATAAAATATACTAATCATATACATAATTATATAAAACATATTCATTATTCGAAATACTATAAAAATCGATTGAAATTATTTAAACTAATCTTGAAACTATTTGAATTTTATAAATCTAATTATTCTAAATCGTTTGAAAATTAAGAAGCTCAGAAAATTAGTTATTATCGGGGAGGGTCGAATTTGGGTGTCAACAGTTAGAATATCTATTTTCTTTTCTATATACATTTTTCAGAAGTAGCATACTAAAAGACACGAATATTTATAAAATGTGAACTATAAACTATAATTTAAACTTTGCTGGAGGAAGTGTTATTTGGAATCTAAACCTAATAGACACTTTTTGAAAGTCAATAACAAAAAAAGGTTGCTAAAAAATTACACATACCAAAAGAAAGTGAGAATATCTATTTACTTTTCTATATACATTTTTCATAAGTAACATATTAAAAGACATGTATCTATAAAATATGAATTGTTAACTATAATTTTATATTTTTTAGGAACAGATGTAAATTCAAGTTCGAAGGAAACGTTTTAGAAGCCCATAAAAGAAAATGTTGCTCAAAAATTCACACAACAAAAAATGTTATTTGTTAATTATGAAGTGTTATTCTTTTAATTGTGCATTTATCTTTTATCTTTTGTAATTGCCGAAGGAAAAGGAAGTCATATTTGGGGGGAAGACAATGTGAAGAAAGAACAAGACACCAAAGAGTTTTCTTCAATATTTTTTTAATTATATATTTCATAAGGCACAATGCATATGATCATAATGAGAAAACTTAGTAGGCATTAAGCCACTTTCATTGTACAATTTTTTAAAAAAACAATTGTTATTTTCAAAATGTAAATAATTTATGAAAATTGGAGTTTTGTAATGCAAGTTCTAATTATTTTTTACATTTTGTCAACAATTTGAAGTGAAAATACATTTTGAGTTGAATTTTAAAACTTCGTAGTCAATATCTTTTTCGAAGTTGAAATTCAAAAATAAAATAAAATAAATTTATAATCAAATGCCTCCTTTAATAACTTATGATTGGATAGGCATGAGAGAGATATTAACTTGCAAGAAATGGAAAAATATTGATAGTTTAATTTTTAAAATTATTTCCTACCGTATGATATACATTAATTATTTTTCTAAGAAAAATTTAGTTTCTTATTGTTTGTAGTTTTTCTGTTTCTTTTTTAAATTTAGTCATGAAAACTTAAAATAATAGAATGGTCAAATGAAGGTCTAATGATAAAATGAATTTTCACAATTCAATGATATTTGATGAAATCATAAAAATATATATGATATTTTTGAACTTGAGGCACATAAAACAAAAAAAACGTGTTTTAAAATGATTATTAGCCACCATGTATTCTAAGTACAACTTTAATTTTCAATATTATTTATTTCTTATCTTTCTTTTATTTTTATTTTTTGTTTTTCAAGTTTAAATAGCTAATTTAAATAGATTGTTTTGCCTTTATATTGAAATGTTTTTTTACCAATACTTCAAGATAAGTTTTTTGTATAGAATGTTAAAAGAATTATAAAAAGATGATAGAATCATAAATGATATTTTTTACATAGTATTTTTTATAGTGATTCTAGAAGTAATTATTTATATATATTATGGTTTAGCTAAAATTTACACTTTGTTTAAATGAGCAAAAGTAATTATTTTATAAAATTTAAAATAAATGAAAGGAAAAACTATGTATAGATAAAAGATTAGACAAGCAAAACTAAAAAAAATTCTTTTCGTTGCAAAAATAAGGAGCATAAATTTAGTGAGATAAAAAATATTTTCAGAAGATAAAAGACTTTTAAGCGATTTAAAATTATAAAAGATATAAAATTTAAATACTAATTATAAACTTAATTAAAACTTGAAATCTGAAATATTTAGTCATTAGGATGATACTATAAATATATAGAATATTTTAAGTAGTTAATTATTCTAAAAAGTTATTTAGTGAATTTAACGAGCTATTGCACGGATAAAGTTCACTAGTTTACAATATTCCAAAAAGAAATTAACTGGTGAATTTCCTCTTTATAGTAAGTCAAAATTCCTTCCGTCGGCGGCCGTCATCCGCCGACGTCATCCCGTCGCCGGAAGGAACGCTGGTGAAAACATCTCCACGGGATCTGTAGATACACAAATTTCAGACAGAATTGCATTTGATAGATTGCAAAAAAGTGCAAAGAGGAGGAGAGAAAGCAGGAAATTGGAATCATGATAACGCGATCGAATTTGGCGGAGCAGCTGAGAGAGTATCAGATTCGATCAAAGCACGATTGGGCTTCCGTCTCCTTCTTTTCCTCCACCTCTAATCTCACATCTACAGCTTCAAGGTATTCTATCAATTCATTTCTCGCTTCTGCAATCATTTTATTGAAAACCTACATTTAGTAATTCCTGAGACAAATCCAGGATTTTAATCGGTGAATCAATGCACTTCTATGGCTAAATGTTGATTTTGTTTATGAAAATTTATCATTTCGGATTGATAATTGTGAGGTCTCAGGTTTAAATCCCAGCAGAGACTAAAACACAAGGTAGTTGGTTCATGTTTGTGATGGGAGGTGATAGTTATCCCGTGGAATAATCGATGTGTGCACTATAGCTGACCTGGACACCAGGATTATCAAATTTTTTTCAATCAATACAAGTTGTTCCTGTTATCTAATCAATATGTGCTTCTGAAAGTCTATTTTTCTTTGTTGGTATTATTAGGAAATTTGTGTTTGTCAAAGTTTAGGATTACTTGATTGAATGTTACATATGAACTTTATATGTTAGCTCGAAATGAGACGTGGGAATTGTTAATTCTTACTCTGCCTTTTTACCTCACTTCTCTGCACCTAGTAGAGTTTTGAAGCGAGTAAATTATTGCATGGCCAATAAAACGAGGAAGGTGAAATGCCCAACTTCGAAACAATTACAGTTGAATATTGAAATCAACGTAACACCTTAGGATTAAAGGGAAGAAAGCAAATGGTAGAATGGAGAAATGATCAGCTCCGATCTTTTTTACAATGTTGTATTTCATTGATAGTGAACTGGAAGAATGAGTGAATTGCATCTTTGCGCCTGGTCCTAGAACTTACTTTTGTGGAAGAACTAGCAGCATGCTAGCTGATTTTATCATTTCCTTAACAGTTTAGTGCATAATGTCATTGCAGCTTCTGACTATTTGTTGTTCTGAGCATTCTTTTCTCTTATTTCCTTTTTCTTTTACCTTGATGCAGGGCGGATGTCGTGATGTTTGTAATTTGTGAACTGGTTATCTTGGCACTCCTGGTTTTCTCAGTAGTTTCATTGTACTTCACACATCTAAAACTTGCATTTATCTTAGTAAGTTCTAGCTTGCTATTGCTTGTATGCGTGACAATTGCAAAGCAAGTTACAGAAGCCAGGAAGAAGAAGCGAAGAATGCTTCTTCCATTATCAATGTAGAAATGTGCGATGAAAAATCTTTTTGCTATGCCCAACCTATATTTTAATGTGAAATGTCAACTTATAATTTTGTCCTTTTTTTTTTCCTTTTCTGAATTCCTTTTGACACAAGTAATTGTAGTAGAGGCAAGCTGATTAATTGGTGCAGATTTTGAGATCATTTGACATCAGAGCTGTTATTTTTGTTATATACTTCATAGGTGTCTGGGCTTGTTGATAAAGCTTCATGTAAGTTTAGCCTCAGTCCTGAAATGTAATTCTCGTGTACCTTCATACTTAAATCTCTATTTAGTCTTACATTTTATCGTCACGAAGGCATTTGTTCTGTCAACGTTGTTCCCAAATCATGAAGAATACTGATCTTTGATGTCTGCGCTTTGTTTTCCTTAACAAGCATTAGGATATTTATACAATACATCATTGAAATTGACAACAAGAAATAAGTGCTTGTGTGCTTTTATATTTACAGAGCCCATGAAGAGGCTTCAACTTGGGCATCTTGTTGGCTGGCTGCTGTTAAGGTTATTTTTCTCCCCAGTTTCAACCAATTATGTTCCTAGTTAGATTTTATCGCTTACCCGAACTTTTGTGGTATTCACTGGGTCTTGAAGAAATGGACATCCATACCTTGAGTTGCTATTGTCCATATTGCACCAGATACCAAAAGAACACTTAGAACCAATCCGAAAAGTCCAAGTGACCAATTAACAAACCAACTTGGACTATATCTGTTAGGTTTCTTGATCATTATCCACATTAGACAAGGATATGCCAAGGTAACAGTCAGAGCAATGCCACCAATAAGCCCAGCCAAACTTGGCAAAAAAGGGAGTGCCACTGATATGAAAAATGTTAGGCATCCAAAGAATACCCTCAATCCTGTTCTAAGCCACCATGGACATGGTTTCTTCTTCTTGCTGGTGTACTTACACTCCCAATTGTCAAACACTGGCATTGCATAGATTTGGAATGAGGTAAGGCAATGGATTGCCACCAGTAAACTTGTTGTCCCTAGAATTACTTTTGAAGTGTCTTCTCCATGGTACTTGTCCAATGCACTCAATATCCCTCCATTTGGCATCTGCCATGACAGTAAAAGAAGTTAATATTCAACTTCTCTTCCTTCTTTCTAAGGTTGATCAAATGTCTAAAAACAGTAACTAAACTTTTAAGAGTGGTTTACACAAATAGCCACTTTTGTTGCCTTGTGTTTAGAAGTTGGTCAACCTTTCAAATTAAACCAGTGGTATTATGTCCAAAAGTGGTTTAAGTTTAGAAGTTGGATATCAAAACTAATATTCAGACCTTGGGTTTAAGTTTGAAAAAGTGGTCAAATTTTAAATAAAATGCCACAAAAGTGGCTATCTAGTGTAAACAGTCCAAATTGTAAAAGATCTTACCAGGTTTCCATAAGCCCAGTAGCCTCCAATTGCCAATGGAAACAAACACAAAGCAATGATAGAATATGAGAACTTGACTCCTTTCCACATTGGCACATGAGATGGATTCTTTAAGCTAGAAGGCATTGTACCCTGCGACACAACCAACCAATATTTAAAAAACAACACTTTTATAATAACATATAAAAAGTTGAAATTGTAAAATTGGTTAGTTAATAAACAAACCTGAATCTCAAGAACAAGATTATGGCCCCTGAATGCAAAAACTATCATTCCAAGAGCATTCAAGATGGCACAAATTGTTGCAACATCAGATGTATTTTCAACATGTTCAAATGAAACACCTTCTGGCCTTTCTTTTACAACAGAAATTACCCATGTCAAGGTGCAATAGGTCACCGCGGAGATCGAACCGACGAGAGAAATTCCAGCAATGGAATTTAAATTAGGAAGCTGAGCAAGAACTATGGCTGAAACTGTGAACACAATGTACCACTCTATGGTACTTAGAGTGGTTATATGGCTTTTAGAAGCACAAACAGTTTGGAAGAAAATCTTCATAGTGCTACCTCCAATCATAATAAGTGTAACACAAGTACCACCTGATAGGTACATTGTTGGAAATAGAGCCAATATCTTCCCAAGTTTTTCACCTACGCAACATTTAATAAACTCGGTAAGGCATAGTACAAGTTCACATACTACGTGTGTTTTTGAACTCGATCACATGGTGTAGCCTGAGGGTTTAATCAGTGAAGTAATTGTTATGCTTACCGAAAGCAGCCATTGAGAGGCCAAGATAACGGCTATTGCGAATGCCAGGGGTAAATTCATGAAGTTGGATGAGTAACCAAAGTGTGTATAATTGCCACATAAATACTAATGATAGGCTTATGATCCCCCATATCCTACAATTTATCAAAATCCAAAGCTAATCAGTACACAGCACAACAATCCAACATTTGGTATTATAACTAGTGTAATTTCACATGTAAGGTCTGAAGAAGATGAATAATTGTATACAGATCTTACTCTACCTTTTATGGGGGCAGATCAGTGATTGTTTCTGATAGACTCTTGATTCAAGATAAACATTTTTCAGAATAAGTATGAAAAAAACAATACAAAATAAAAGGCTATGATGGAAAACAAAAAATAATTAAGTCATTTTCCAATAATTGATACTAGTTCCACGGTTTACACCCAAAATAAAGAAAAAAATACTCCCTACTTAATTTTGGACAGATGACATTCTCCTTCCCAATAACTATATCAACTCTCAACTTTATATCACTGCTTTAACAAACACTTACATAGATACTATTATATCAGTAATTTTGGTACAATTTTTATTTTTTTAAAAAACAATCATTTTTTAGTAGGGAAAATTTTCATAAAAAACATTTCATGTTTACTAATATCATTATCAATTCTTAATAAATATTTTGAAAAATATTTTCCATTCTCTTCACCAAACACCAAAATAAAATCTAAAGATTTGAAAAATGACTTTTGTCATACCAAACAATACACCTTTAATTTATTTTCCCTTTAGCAAGAAATTAAAGAAACATACAAGCTTATGAAAACACAACAACAACATATACCCGTGAGGTCTGGAGAGGGTACTGAAGTGTACAAATAACCTTTCTATTACCTTATGGGGGCAGAGGGATTGTTTTAGTTAAACCTTCGGCTCAAGAAAAATCGTTTTTTTCAAACAAGAGTAAATAAACAAGTTTTGATGATTATTGTACATACCATCCAAGTGTAATAAAAGCAAGAGGAAGAAGTAGAGCTTGGACACCAATCCCAGAACAAAGTGTATGAAATGCAGCATAATATGCATTTCCACTTCTTGATTCAGTGATTGGAAGCCAAGCATCTTGAGCAGGATCATGAAGCTTTGTAAGATGACCAATTTCTTCCATATATGTTAAAGCTTTCTTCATTATTGGACTTGCACTTGCTAAAGGACTCGTTAATATTTTTGAAGAAAATGGACTTTTTGGTGTTTTAGGAATAATATTATTGGAATCATGAGGAGATGATGTTGAAGAAATTGTAGTACTAATATTTTTCATTTCTTCTACCACTAACTCACTTTCCATGATATATTTTCTTGTAGTAATTGGATGATTTTCTTCTACACTATGCTTCTTTTTATATAGTGAAAAAGTAGCAACTTTGAAATTTGACTAGACCCCACATTTTGTCTCTTATTACATACCTAGTAATTACTAGGAGTAAGCAACTTGGTTACTACATTCAAGATTCATTTGGTTCACACTTCTTAGTTTTGTTTTTTTTTGTTTTTTTTTTTTCGCCTGGTGTTCGTATCTATATTGAAGGTTTGATTAATTAGAATTCACATCACATTTTTCATGGAAAATTTTAAGTTTTTTTAATTTTCAGGACTTTAACTTAAATTGTCTGATTAAAGATTAGCTATTTATCACTCCACACAATATTAATAGTTATTGTTGATTTATATCCTAGAATATTGTCTTAATTACATTGAATAAACGGAAAAAAAAAGTTATATATGAACTTGTTCATATTATGGATTCTCAAGTTTAATAAATAAAAAACAGATCAACAAGTTTAGCTAATTAGTATTTTCAACCGAGAACACAGATATACATGTAGAAAGTTATGTGGAAATTTAATCATTAACATTTTAACAAATATTACATTTCCAAATCCATAATTAATTCAAAATAAAAATAAGTTTAATGGTGGGAATTCAAAAATTAAAACTATTAAATTTAAATTCTGAATTTGTAGCTAGCGTAAAATATATTCATCATCAAACACATGTGTTTATGTATGTTCTTTGATAATTAATTATTCAAATGAATAGTAAGATATCACTCCATGAGCCGCCTATACTTTTAAAAAATTAGACAAAAATATGATAATCTTGTATTGAAAAATAAATATACTAAATTTCATTATTTTGAGAACTATGGAATATATACCCTTCGCACTAAAATTAGAGCAAATTTTCTTAAAGTCCAAATTAAATGAAGATGCAAAGAAACCTCTGAGTTCCACTTTTAGGAATATATATATATATAAAATAAAATTTATTTTTCTTTTTTTTTTAATCATATTTTTCAGCTTGAGGTGCAAGGAAATTTCATTTCATTATTTAGAAAAGCTAAACTTGTATATATATATATATATATTTGAATTAATACAATATGTGTGTTGCCACAATTTTCTCTTCCGAGGAAACTACTTAAACCAAATCTAAATCAAATGATCTTGTTTTGAATAATTTAATGGTGGAAATATTTGAAAATAAACTCAAAACAAAGGGAAAACATACCATTATTGGGTGCTTTCTTCTCTTCGAATCTTGAATTATATGATCATCTCAATCAAAAGTTTAAGCTATTAGATAGAATACTATTTACTTCTTTCGTCCGTCTTTACTCGTCCAGTATTAATTTGACATACTTCTTAAAAAATAATAAATAAAATGACAATTTTACTATCCACCCCTTTGAATATAATAAATCCAGTATTTTGACAAATGCATTGGGGAAATTATAACTACCATTAATAATAAAAGTAAATTAAAAATTAAGTATTGAATTATCTCTTTACGAAAAGACTTGCAAGACTAAGGTAAGGCTTGACTTTACTAGTCCCATCCCTACGACCCTTACTCTTCTAAGGTATTTTCCATTTTCCATACTGGATAAATAAAAATTGTCAAAGAGAACATTAATTGTATTATGTGTATACGTCATCCCTCATGTGTGACCCTATTCTTTTTCATGATCAAACACATAGAAATATTTTTTCCTTGTATAAATGTAAAAACTCTTGTATGCTAGCTCTATCGATATCATGCATGTTCAACTACTTGATCTAAAAGGGTACGCATATTTTTATTTATGATGAACTAGAAAAGAATACTATTTATTTACATGATGGAACAACAAAAATTCTTTAGTCTTCAATTAATAAATTCAGTAAGAACATAATATTCAAAGTTCAAAATTGATACAATCAAGAATTTTTTAGTCTCAATTAATAAATTCACTAGTAATTAAATTATCCTTATTAAGATTGCCTCTATATATATATATATTTGAATTAATACAATATGTGTGTTGCCACAATTTTCTCTTTCGAGGAAACTACTTAAACCAAATCTAAATCAAAAGATCTTGTATTGAATAATTTAATGGTGGAAATATTTGAAAATAAACTCAAAACAAAGGGAAATCATACCATTATTGGGTGCTTTCTTCTCTTCGAATCTTGAATTATATGATCATCTCAATCAAAAGTTTAAGCTATTAGATAGAACATTATTTATTTCTTTCGTCCGTCTTTACTCGTCCAGTATTAATTTGACATATTTCTTAAAAAATAATAACTAAAATGACGCTTTTACTATCCACCCCTTTGAATATAATAAATCCAGTATTTCAACAAATGCATTGGGGAAATTACGACTACCATTAATAATAAAAGTAAATTAAAAATTAAGTATTGAATTATCTCTTTACGAAAAGACTTGCAAGACTAAGGTAAGGCTTGACTTTACTAGTCCCATCCCTACGACCCTTACTCTTCTAAGGTATTTTCCATTTTCCATACTGGATAAATAAAAATTGTCAAAGAGAACATTAATTGTATTATGTGTATACGTCATCCCTCATGTGTGACCCTATTCTTTTTCATGATCAAACACATAGAAATATTTTTTCCTTGTATAAATGTAAAAACTCTTGTATGCTAGCTCTATCGATATCATGCATGTTCAACTACTTGATCTAAAAGGGTACGCATATTTTTATTTATGATGAACTAGAAAAGAATACTATTTATTTACATGATGGAACAACAAAAATTCTTTAGTCTTCAATTAATAAATTCAGTAAGAACATAATATTCAAAGTTCAAAATTGATACAATCAAGAATTTTTTAGTCTCAATTAATAAATTCACTAGTAATTAAATTATCCTTATTAAGATTGCCTCTATATATATATATATATATATATATATATATATATATTTGAATTAATACAATATGTGTGTTGCCACAATTTTCTCTTTCGAGGAAACTACTTAAACCAAATCTAAATCAAAAGATCTTGTATTGAATAATTTAATGGTGGAAATATTTGAAAATAAACTCAAAACAAAGGGAAATCATACCATTATTGGGTGCTTTCTTCTCTTCGAATCTTGAATTATATGATCATCTCAATCAAAAGTTTAAGCTATTAGATAGAACATTATTTATTTCTTTCGTCCGTCTTTACTCGTCCAGTATTAATTTGACATATTTCTTAAAAAATAATAACTAAAATGACGCTTTTACTATCCACCCCTTTGAATATAATAAATCCAGTATTTCAACAAATGCATTGGGGAAATTACGACTACCATTAATAATAAAAGTAAATTAAAAATTAAGTATTGAATTATCTCTTTACGAAAAGACTTGCAAGACTAAGGTAAGGCTTGACTTTACTAGTCCCATCCCTACGACCCTTACTCTTCTAAGGTATTTTCCATTTTCCATACTGGATAAATAAAAATTGTCAAAGAGAACATTAATTGTATTATGTGTATACGCCGTCCCTCATGTGTAACCCTATTCTTTTTCATGATCAAACACATAGAAATATTTTTTCCTTGTATAAATGTAAAAACTCTTGTATGCTAGCTCTATCGATATCATGCATGTTCAACTACTTGATCTAAAAGGGTACACACATTTTTATTTATGATGAACTAGAAAAGAATACTATTTATTTACATGATGGAACAACAAAAATTCTTTAGTCTTCAATTAATAAATTCAGTAAGAACATAATATTCAAAGTTCAAAATCGATACAATAAATAAAAAATTAATTATTGCATCAAAGAGCTTCTTTTATTTCTTTCATCGAATATAATGATGTGAATCAAGAGTTATAATATGATTAGTGACTCCAATTGTCGTAAGTGGTAATACTTGCAACTTGACTCTTTTAGTTAACTGATAAATAGAATATTCAAAGTTGGCAAAAAGCCTTTCAATTAGGATATTTGGCTAAAATGATTTTTCAACAACTTCTTTTTTATTTTTTATGTTCCCAAGGATATAAAGAGGCCAGGTTGCAACTTTGTATACTATAGAACCCACTGCCACTAGAGCCACAACCTTAGTGTTATTTGTGATAATATCTCTTTTCACTTGAAAAATCCAACAAGTTCTTTTGACTAGTTAGCTCCTAATTGACAACTTTATGTGATGTAATAAGGATGACGCAAGAAAACCAATATATGAACATGTCTATTTTGTTTTCATATAATCAAAGACGGAGAAATTTTATGAGTTCTAGATAATAAGTTTTTTGCATATTATGTATTTTATTTGATTTTTAAATAGATGTTATTCCGCTGTTTGTTATTGTACTAAATCAATATCAAATCGACCAAATAATAGATCAAGATTACGTTGTTCACTGAGCTACAAATGTATTATTTGGTCCAAAATATAACTACAACAAGAAGGATATTTAGTTGATGATAAATTTTTATTATTAATTATCGCAAAAATATTTAGAGGCATGCTGAAATAAGGTTTGACAACTGGGGACATACTTTTGTATTGCGCATGCAAATATATAAGATTTATTAAATAATACTACTCTATTATTTTTATTATTATTATTATAAAATTATTAGTATTATTTATGTTAAAGGGAAATACATATATAAAGTTATTAGTTAGTGGCAATGCATGTATGATGACTAAGCACTTTTGGCTGTTGATGTCTCAAACTTTATTTTTTGCTTTGGCAAAGGCTGCTCCCTGGGGTTCTTTGTATTGTAACTTAGCCTTGTTAACTTGTTTTTTTTTTTCTTTATTTAGACATATATTATTGACGATATACAAAATATTTAACGATAATTATGCAAGACAAAATATTACTAGTAATTGATAATGTAAAATGAATGATAAGTAACCTATTATACATATGCAATTATACAAATAATGCATATAACTTTATTTTTTAATTTTCTTTTTGACATGTTGTAGTTACCTTTACTTTTGGAGACCACTTTTAATCCTATTAAATTATGTTTGTTGGACGTTGATGCTTGCTTTAATTATACTACTATCTAAAATTAAATTATCCTAATTAAGATTGCCTATATATATATATATATATATATATATGATTTTGACTAATTGACAAAATAGTTAGTATTAAAAATGAAATGATGCACTTCATCATCATGAATCAGAAAGAAATTTATTGGGTGAAATACTCAAAACCAAACCACATTTTCTTTTCAAAGCTAGTTAAATTATTGAATTCACACCAAATATTAATATAAAAAATATACAGTATGAAAAAAGGACAGAAAAAATATCACTACTTTTGACAAAAAGACATCTTACTTAGCCACCAGCCCACTATTTAAGGTTTACTTTTATACATACATTTCACTTAATTAATTACTTTAATCTGTCATAGTTATTATAATTAAAAGTAATGCCACAAAATGATCTTATAGTGGGGTTTTATACGAGTTTTTTGCCAAAAACATCCTTAAACTATACCTTCAACTTAAACTACATCCTTAAATTATTTTTCTTAACAGAAAACATCTCTCAATTATTTAAAATTTGACAACTTTTATCTTTTTGTTAAAATTTGTCAAAAATTAACAAGTTCTTCACAACAATATGTATGGTTCACACTAGTCTCAACAAATTAAACTCTCTAAATCTCCCAATAAATCAATTATGTTCATTCTACATACATCTAAAATAATATTATAATTTTTTTAGTAACAACGTTTTGCATTGTCTTCCTTTGAATTAGCAATTTTATTTTTGTTTACTTTTCATTTGATTTGATATCAAAGAAGTATCAATGGAAATGTTTTGTTTTCATTGAATCTGCAAAAAGTGGTGGCGTTCGGTGACTTTTACTTCTAATAATGAAAAATGAAACTTGAGTACTAGAGATCAAAATTAGCTGAATCTTGATCACCTCAATTATTAATTTGCCCCAAAAAATTATTGTTCTAACAATAGTTTGACTTTGCAAGGTGAAGATTGTGAGAAATTAAGCTCCAACTCCATTCAGTTGGTAAAGGAGAAGAGGAGATCATGTCTCCTCGTAGACTCACACCGTCCTAACATTGTTTTTTTAACAGCAAATACGAGTCTCAATTTTTTTTTCGATGCTTTTTTCAACTGGTAATAATATTATAGATTTTGTTTTTATGAGAATAATATGAATTGCATATGTTTTTGTGTGGAATTCGCTAATTTTTTGACAAATTTTAATAGAGGGATGAAAGTTGTTAAGTTTTAAATACTTGGAGGATGTTTTTTGTTAAAAAGGATAATTTAAGGATGTAGTTTAAGTTGGGGGTATAATTTAAGGATATTTTTAGCCAAAAACTCGATTTTATACACCCCACAAATATGTATAAGAAAAATAATCTACTTGAGTTTAAGTTTTATACATCATCAATATAAATAAATTAAAGTCGTTTATATGTATATTCTTACAGCCGGTCATTTTTCTCCAATTAATTTTTAACCATCTTAAACTAGCATTTTACACCAAATAAAAGCTAATAGAAGTTCTCTATATTCATGATGAATCCACAAGGAAGGCTAGGATACAATAGCAAAACGTACAAAAATTATGTTGTAATACCAAAAATATAATTAGAATCAACTATATAAAGCTTCACTAATATCACACTTCTCTGATTAATAAAAAAATAATTTTATGCTAGCATTACACAAAATAAACATAAAAATGAAAAAGTAATAGACGTTATCTAATATATATTGATCATGATGATGAATCATTTGGTGGCATGACAAGGATGATTTAATTAAAATTCTGAAACTTTGGGTGATTTGAATGTGTTGACCGTGTTTATCCACTCCATGGTTGTCCAAATAATTAAAGCTATATGCTAAAGTCTTCATACAATTAAGTTAATGAGACACCTTAATTAATTTATCCTATTCATGTCGTCATGGTAAAAGGCAATTCGATATATTAAGCTTCTAATTATGTGCGAGATAATTAGAAGAAAGATCGAATAAAAAAGTCCGATTTATTAAGCTCCCGTTACCATTTTAAAACTTATTAAAATAGTATTCAACACTATTTAGCTCATGTTGATCACATGAAATTGTACGTTCATATGACTAAGATTATAAAAATTATAGAATCAGCAAGAAATTTCTATATCCACATGCTACGCATGAACAATCTAGTCACGTTAAATTTCATAAAAGCAATTTCTATAGCACTGATAATTATAATTTGACGGATGCAGATGCAGATTTAGAATTTAAAGTTTATGATTCGTTTCTATGATAATCTCAAATTAATACATAATAATAACTTGATTCATTTTCAAATATATATAAATATTTGATAAGTTTTTTGATACATATACGGAATTTGAACAAAAATTACTGAATTTCGACATGCAATTTGGACGTTTCTACGTGAATCTAGTTGTAACAAAAAAACAAGATCCACTTCAAGACAAATCTAGGCCATTGCCTTTTGCACTTGCATTTATACCTTGAATTTGTCTTTCACCATATTGGATATATAGCGCAATCCAATGTAGATAGATCATAAATCACTTTCACCCTCCATTCCACACACAAAACTACTCATCCACTTTGTTAATTCTTGTATATGTATAATTCTTGCTTCTTAGCTTTACTTATATATTCCTAGAGCATATATATAATTTCACGATTCCGATCATCAACTTTTCTTGGTAGAACATATAACTCGTATATGTCCATATTGGTTTTATCGATAGCTTGAGTCAGCCAAAATATCGGGAGAAGTGATTGCTGAAGTCATAATTTCTTTCTTTTCTTGCTTCCATTGCGAAAATCGATAATCTAAATTTTTTCAAAGTTTGTTAAGGATAGACACTCAAATGAAGAGTCCTTCTAAGAAGTTAAGTAACATTATAGCCAAGTGGAGAAAAGGAAGGAAAGGTCAATTTGTTGTATATACAAAGGAAGGCAAGAGATTTGTTGTGCCATTGTACTATCTAAATCATCCAATTTTCAAAGTCTTACTCGAAATGGCTGAAGAGGAGTATGGTTCAAATGTGAATGGCCCTTTGCAAGTTCCATGTGAGAATGAATTGATGGAGTATATTCTATGTTTGTTGAGAACAAAACTTGGTAATGTTGAAATTGGAGAAGCAATTTCCTCTATTGATACATGTAAAGGAACACATGTTTCTTCTAATTTATCCTCTTTGCAATGTGATAGTTTAGTTGAACGTGTGTCATAATGACTTCTTTAGGCTAGAAAATAGAGTAGGAGATGAAGATTGTTTATGTAATATGTAAAATGTACTATAACAATATTGATGACAAGTTTGAAGTTTTGATACTTCTAACATACTTTTCTAGTTGCAATTTGGCAATTCTTCCACTCCCTTTGATGCTCTCCTCCACCCCCACCCCACCCCCCCACCCTTTTTTTTTTTCCTTCCGTCAAGTGTTCGATATTTGCATGGCCAAATTTGATTAAATTTAGATTCACGCATTGCAGAACCTACTTATGGGAGCTACACTCTCAATAAAAAAAAAAATTATTCATGAAGACTTGAACCCGAAACTTTTCATTATGAATGAAGAAATCTCAACCATATCCTATAGCAACCCATGTTGATCCTTTAACGTTCTCCAACATTTGGGTAACATACTAATCATTAAAGTAATAGTATTAGTTTGTTTTTTGTTTCTCATTCGGTTAAGACACATAATTAAAGGATAAAATATCTTTTTTCCTAAGAAATTTGTCATTCTCAAAACTCGGCTTAATATCTCGAACTAATTAAGAGCAAAGTAATCTATTCATATCACCACAATCTTCAATGATTAACATACTAATCTATACTCCTTATCCCCCTCCCCCGTTGTGCTCGAGGGTGATTAGAGAAAATCAAATAAGATTGCCCATCTTTTTTATATATATATTAGGCATTGCATTCTCTGAATAATTCAAAATCAAAGTAATTGAATGTACGATTCCAATATGCAAACAATATCATCCCCCCCCCCCCCCCCCCCCACCCTCCCGCACCCAAAAAAAATTGAGAATAAAGAAAAGAAAATGAGTTGTTAGGGGTATCAAAAGTAATAGAATGAAAAGAAACGGACTAAAAGTGACTTTTCTGAAAACTTTCAGGGACCTATAGTTCATTTCTATCTTCTCTCGTGAAAAATTAGGCCCATAACCCGAATAGCTCTTGTAATCTCCAGTTTATTCAACCACTGAAGCATTTTTGGGAACAGCGATTAACGAAGAGGAAGAGAGATGGGAGGTGGAGATGGACATGGCATGACCTTCAAAGGCATCACTGTACATCAACCTAAGCGTTGGCACTCCGTCACCGGAAAAGGATTGTGTGCCGTCATGTGGTAATTTCTTCAAACCCTAGCCCCTTTCTATTGTCATTTCATTTCCCCTGTTTTTCGATTGATTTTACGAGCTGTATGGATTTGATAATGTAATGCTTTCGGATCGGAGATTTAGGAATTAGATTTGATTGGAATATATATTAGGGAACCTTATTGAGCTCAAGTGTGTGATGTATTGGTTGATCCATTGTTGAGGATGAGATTTTCTCTGAACGAAGTTTAACTCATTATTTATTTTGCTTAGCTGATAAATTACAAGGTTCATATAGTGAGTGCATTTGATGGAATTTTGTTAATAATAGATATTGCCTGCAAAGGCAGATGTGGCACCCGTAAATGTACCAGGTAGAGGTTCATTGGGCATGTTAGACATGCCTTAAGTAGCATTCTACAGGTAATGTTGAACAAATCAGCCTTCCCCCCTAAAAAAAGTGATTTTGAAGAAAAGATGCCAATTATAAAAGAAGAAAAACTACTACTACTACATGTTGATCCAAAGTTAGTTTTGGTCGATTATATGAGTAATCACTGTCTGTTTCACTCCAATTTGAAAATCCACATTGTGAGGATTTGTCCATTGTCCCAGCTTGTGTTCGTTGGGCTTTATGGGTGGAAAGACCCATTCTCCAATTTTTATTTGTGAAATTGTGCTTGGTGGCTGATTAAATTCAGTTGCACTACTATCTCAGGCTCCTGTTGGAGGTTTAGTTGGTTCAGCTGTAATAAGAGAAATAACTCAACTTCATTTAAATAAAAAAGAAGAGAGGAATAGCTGATGATTTTAATCACTGATGCCTTACCTTAAACTTTTGCATTTTATTGGCATTTAACTAGTAAGCAATAGTCAGAGGGTATACAGCAGGATGGATATCTTAAATGTTATTGACCTTAAGTATATAATAATGTACCAACAACTTCCAAGGATGTGGTCGAATAGTCATGAAGTGGATTGAGAACCATGAGGCTTGAGGTTCAAATCCTAGCGAGGCAATATCATTAGGTGATTTCTATTTTCTTCTCATGTGTCAGCCTTGGCGGATAGAGTTATCCAATACCTATGTTGGTGGGAGGTAGCAAGTATCCCATGGAATTGGTCGAGATGCACCCAGGCGGTCTGAACACCATGGTTGTCAAAAAATAATAATAATGCGCCAACATAGTTTTCAAATATTAGCAGGATGATTCATAATTAATAGGGACTTATTAATAAATGGAGAATGGTATGAACTATAATCTGCATTTTATGGATCAAATTAATGAGAGATCTGTGCTGTTGCACTTTTTATATACCATAACACCAGAGTGTGTTTGTTTTTTCAGGTTCTGGATTCTTTACCGGGCCAAGAAAGATGGTCCTGTAGTGTTGGTGAGTCTCAATATTGTTTCATCATTTCTTACATTTTCGTTTATTGTATACCATTTTGGTGATTGTTGATGTGATTTTGACTGCTTAGGGCTGGAGGCATCCTTGGGAAGGCCATGGCCATGATCATGACCATTAGGTAAGGTTCTTGCAACTATAGTAGCTTATAATGTTACTAGTGAATGTGGTCAGTCATTTTTACATTATGGTGGCTGGAGAAGTCTCTGTTGTTTATCTTTGCTATTTGTAAATGATGCTTCTAATCCAAAACCTTATGTATATTCTGAAGTGACATGTATTGGTCAAGAGTCATAACATAACCTATATCTTCATCTAAGCAACAGTTGGAATAAATTTGCAAAACGGCTACTAGTTGCAAAATGGCAACTATATAAGCAGAGAATTTTTTCCTGTACTGAAAAAATTGGGAATGGAAACTTTTTAAGTAGAGAGATTTCTCCTTTTAGCCAAAATAAATAAGCATATGAGATTTATGTCAAAATATTTTTCTTCAGCAGAATAAGTGGTTCATATGAAGAGTTTGATTGTTGGTTGATCATATCACCTGCACCAGAATATTATTCCCACATTTTGCAGTCTCTACATTATCTGCTTATGCTCGGATATTCGCTGCTAGTACTGAGTTGAGATTTTGAGATACTCAAAACCTATGAAATTGTAATGTGCCGTCAATTTTAAATTTATTGTTTGAATCTTTGTGGCATTTGGCTTCAAGTGGGCTGTTCCTAACTTTTTAAGTCTTGAGCTATCATCCTCTATTTTTGTTTGACTAGCCCAGTCTGATGAATTGTGCTAATTGATTTTGCAGATATGTCATGGAAGCTGCGGCTGGATTGTACGGTCAATGCTAATGTATTTCTTGGAAAACTCAGTTGAATATCTTTCAAAACAGTTGTATTTTGTGTTCAATAAAAATCCTATGAAGTGGAGAATTGTTTATGAATATGACTTGATTCATAAGATGCTTTGTTTTAGTTAACTTTGAGCTATGATTTTTGTTTTCATTGAACTGTTTGGCGCATTTTTTGCAGTGGTGTGTGCAACTTTTCTCTGTTGTATTTCCAACCCTTTTCATGAGTGAGTTTGAATGAAATTATGTAGATAGCAACATTTGTCAATACGACGAGATTTAATTTTTATGAACTGTGTTTTGCAGTAGCAGGTTAAAAGTTTAATTTAACTGTGTTGATAATGCACCCTGAACTGCCTTTCCTCGAGCTGAGGTCTATCGAAAACAACCTCTCTACATCCAAAATAAGGGTATGGTCTGAATGCATCCTACCCTCTCCGGATCCACTTTGTCAGACAGATTACACTAGATATTATGTTATTGTACGTTGATAATGCACCTTAGCATGCAACTTAAAATTCATATAAAGGTCGCTAAGATCTATGTAACCTGGATTTAAAATGGTAAATTAACAAAAAAAAGCTATTTCATGAAGACCATTAAAGACTCAACCAGTAATATGAACTTAACGATCATCACAATCAATGATAGTATATGATTGAAAATTTGCAAAGCTACTATAAGAAGTAATCAGACAAAGAAAGACAACAATTGACATATATAAGCTGAATTGCCTCTATTTTATTGATCTGAAACAAATAAAAGAATAAAGTGATACAATGAACTAAGAGTAATCAGTTACAATTAGTTTGATCTGAACTCTGAATATCAGAAGATTCAGATTCCTGAATCTGCAGTCATTGCTTCAATTAGCTCAGCAGAAATCTTAACTTGGCTCCTATTTTTCGCTTGTCATTTCAAGAGTTAAACTTATATACACCGAATTTAACATGTGAGTATATTTAGAAGAGATACTCTTGTCCTAATAAGACGCCGAATAATACACTCTAATTCTCCTTCAAGAACATCTTCAATAACAATCTCCACTGCTTCCAATCTTTTATTCACACATTGTAATGTCATTGCATCACATTTTTCCCAAGAACTAAAGCTATTCACTCTCATCAACTTTGATCCAAAAATATACCCTTTATTTAATTTCTTGTTATTTGGACTTGGCATTAACATAAGTGACATCAATGACTCCACAATTGACATAGTAGCAACTTTCACTTCCCTAAGCACGTTCACAACTACCATCAAATTATTTTTACTTTCTGAGCTTTGGTCCGATCCCAATGATAATTTCATTCCCTTTAAGGAATGCAAGCGCTTTAATATCTCTTTCTTCAACTTCTTTCGTTGACAATGAAAAGATACTGTGAATTTATTATTATCTCCAACGCTAATTCTTCTGAACGTTGACTTGAGGTCATGGAAATGATCTTTAACTAACAAAAGAACATCTTTTGTGGTGGTACATACTTCAAGCATCCTTAGCGATGTTTCAGAAACATCATGGACCCATTTTTCTTGTCCTTGGTACGCGATTTCTCGTTTGATCATCGATGAGTGAAGCAAATCGTTGGCTGAGTCGTGCAAGTCTCTTAGAGCATCAAAATTTGGTAATGCCATTGTATTTTCTTGAGCTAGAAAATATGTTTGAACTTTTGACTTTTGAATTATATTAGATTGAGACTGTTTATATAAATGCTTTGCATTTGTAACCTTTTTATAGGTTACCTCAAAAAATATTAGAAATTAGAGATTTTGTGATCTCTAATGGAAAAAGGACAGGAAGGATCCTTTTTTGTACGTATTGGCAACAGCTAAGGAGATTAATAATATTGTCCTAAAGGAAATTTCCTCCTAGAAGGAAAAATACAAGAAATGGAAGAATTAATTTATACTCCAATTATTCCATCTGGTGTCTGGTTCCCGCATTGGAGTCCAACTAATCTTGATTTGCAACATGTGGAAAAATGCTCTCTAATCTCTATCAAGGATTTTTCCAGAGGTCGAACCCGAGACATCATGTCATGATCACAAGTTATAAGAGTACATACTGCTTAATCAAATACCGTCATATAAATTGAAACGAGGGAGAGGGATGATGCACGAGGGAGAGAGACGATGCCAGTCTGGTACTTATTAAATTGTCGACATGCAGACAAAATGTATTGAGAATATATTTATGAAGACTAATTAGGGAGCATTATGAAACATTAATCAACATAATTTGGAATACTTCAACATGATTTTAGAGTATTAACAACTGTTTATGTTTCTTGTTAATTAATTAAGAAATGAAATCTTCTATTAAGATTATATTCTAACCATGCGTGCATTGCGTTGGCAGAGTTTCCAAGAAAATTCCTCCAGCATTGACTAGTTTTTTTAGTTGTCCTTTAGTGACATGGATATTTTTCCTCCAAAATCTACACATGTGAGACATGATATATAGTTCGTGCATTATTTTATATTATATATGCACTTAGTTCGTACAGTTATAGTCGATCCCAACTTGTTTGGAGCTTAGGCATTAAAAGGATGTTTTAAGTTAAGTAAAATATTATAAGGATGAAGTTGAAGTTTGAGCTAAACAATAAGGATGATTTTGGTCAAAAACTCGCTACGAGGTCAACTGAGAGACTCAAAAGTCTTTCTAAGTCCAAAACCCAAGTCTTTCTACTTTATATATTCATACTATATTGGATTCTCTAATAAATTTCTCTTTGATTATTGAGCAAAATTTTGTCACCAATGGAAGGTGTAAATTTACTACTAGTCCTTCTTCTTATAGCTAGTAGTACTATATTAGATGGATTGATATTATGCAGAGCTATGAATTCAGACATTCTTTGTGATGAAAATGAAAAAAATGCTCTTATCAAGTTCAGACAGGGTTTCAGGGATCCATCACGGTCAATGATCATGTCGTCTTGGATGCTCGAGGAAAATTGCTGCAACTGGAAAGGTGTTGAATGTGACAACACAACCGGACACGTGATCACTCTTGACCTGCACCAGCAATTCTTGCAAGGTGAGTTTGGGACTTACTTGCTTGGCTTGTCTCATTTAAGACACTTAGACTTAAGCCAAAATGATTTCCTTGAGGCCTTGTTTCCTGACTTCATTTGCAAATTTAAGTACCTAGAGTATCTCAATTTGCACAAAACCAAGTTTAGGGGATCAATCCCTGTGTGTCTTGGAAATCTGTCGCGGTTGCAGTTACTTGATCTTGGTGATGGTTTTTCACTCCGGGTTGATAGTCTTCAATGGATTCAGCATCTTTCCAATATGAGGATTCTTGACCTGAGTGGAGTTGACCTGAACAATGCCAAAACCTGGCTACATGACATCAATTTCCTAAGGTCTCTCGTGGAATTACGTTTGTCTTCTTGTCAACTTCCTAAATTACTTCCTGTTTTTGTAAATTTCACATCCCTTCAGGTTCTTGACCTCTCGTTAAACTATCTGGATGTTCCATTTCCTAGCTGGTTAGTCAATACAAGCTCTCAGAGTCTTGTTTATCTTAATCTCAAAAGAAGTCTGCTGCATGGTTTACTTCCAAATACCGCCTTTGGAAACATGTACTCACTTAGAGTTCTTGATCTTTCTGACAACTCTATCCGAGGCAAGCTTCCGTCTTTTGAGAACATGACTTCAGTTACTTCTCTTGATATCTCAAGGAATTCTCTTCAAGGCAAATTACCACCAACCCTGCCTTCAAAGTTGAAACATTTGGATCTTACATCCAATAATCTGGAGGGTACTTTAGCAAGTAGCATCGCACAACTTAGGCAATTAGTTGTCCTCAATGTTGCTTGGAACTCTTTCAATGACTCGATTACTGAACATTTCTTGAATTTCAGTGATTTGAGAGTGTTAGACTTGTCATCCAACTCAATTATCCTCAATATAACTGCAACTTGGATGCCTCCCTTTCAACTTGACATTATTGGCCTGATGTCTTGCCAACTTGGTACACAGTTTCCACAGTGGTTTCATACACAAAAGGATTTCTCATTCATCGATATCTCTCATGGTAACATCTCAGATAAAGTGCCTGATTGGTTCTGGAATCTCTCTCCAAAGGTACAACACATGAACCTTTCTCTCAACTATTTCAGAGGGGAAGTACCTCAAGTTACATCAAGACTTGCTAGTCTTGAAAAACTAGACCTGAGCCAAAACAACTTTCATGGTCCTTTACCTCATTTTTCGTCCAAGATGAAGATGTTGATTTTGTCCCGGAATTCTTTTAATGGTGCCATTTCCCCTGTATGTGAATCACTTGTCATGAATAATTCTCTTATGTTTCTAGACCTATCGTTCAATAATCTATCAGGAACACTTTCAGACTGTTGGAGATATGGGAACAATCTGGCAGTATTAAAGTTAGGCAATAATAATCTGTCTGGTGAAATACCTCATTCTTTTGGATATCTTGAAACTCTCAGGTATCTGCAACTGAATAACAACAGGCTGTCCAAAAATCTGCCTTCATCACTGAAGAGCTTACAAGAACTAAAATTTCTTGATCTTTCCAGAAATTGTTTATCTGGAAATATATCATCTTTCTTAAGGGAGACTTCACAGAAGCTAATGCTTCTTTTGTTAAGAAATAACAAGTTCGACGGAAACATTCCCCTACAGATTTGCCAGCTCAAAAACTTGATTATTTTGGACCTTAGTTCCAATGCTCTATCAGGCACCATTCCAAAGTGTGTTAAAAATTTCCTAACGCTGGCCGGGGTAGAGGAGTTCCCTTCCTTGGTTTATGGCCCCTATGAAGAATACAGGAAGGATGTGATGTTGATGCTGAAAGAGAGAGGCTATGATCATAGTGTTTTTTTCTATGCGGTGATTGATCTATCAGATAACCATTTATCAGGGGAAATTCCTGAGGAAATCACCACACTTGTTCGATTGCAGGCATTGAATTTATCAAGGAATAATTTAACTGGAGCAATTCCTTGTGACATTAGTAAATTGCAACATTTGGAAGCTCTTGATCTTTCCAGGAATTACCTGTCATCCTTTTTGCCTTCCAGCATAGTGGAGCTTTCCATGCTCGCGATCGCAAATTTTTCGTTCAATAGTTTGACAGGAAAAATTCCAATAGGTCGTCAATTTTTAACCTTCGATAATAGTTCTTATATTGGGAATCCAGAGTTGTGTGGCATGCCACTTTCCAAAAGCTGCTCGGGACATTTTCCTGAGGACGTTACTCACTGTAACACTCCCAAGAAAAAAGACGTGCAGGCCATTCATCAGCATGAGGAAGACAATTGGCTTGATGAATCATCATTCTATATCAGCATGGTAATTGGTTTCATCACAAGTTTCTGGTTATTTTGGGCTACTCTATTGGTGAAAACATCTTGGAGACATGCCTATATGAGGTATCTTAATAAAATGGGCAACAATATTTATGTGTTTGTAGCCATAAGATTACCAAATAAGCATAGACCATCAAAGATGAAAGACTGAAGTTATTTCAGGGCTTTCTGAATAAGGTAATGAAGGTCTTATTTCTGGTGCAACTTTCTTTTTTGTTGTTTTGATTTCTAGGAGCTCTTCTGGTTTTGTTTTTGTAAAATCTTCTAAGTACTATATTGTGTATGCTTAGTTGCATTGTTTCATCTCGTGGGATTGAACTAGGTATGTTGTTGTTGTTGTCATAATTGTATTTTATGATATGTTTTGTGGATATCTAAGTAACTTGAGAATACTATTACTAATGTTTTACACTAGTAAAACTGTCAAGATCATTTCACTTGCTTCACCTCAAGTAGAACAATGACACAAGTTTAATCAATCCAAGTCATGACCAGTTTGGCCTTTCAACTCTCTCCTCTGTTATGACAAATTTCAGATGATCAAACATTTAATACAACGTTTTCGTGATATTTTATTCAACTTGTCTGTACCATAGACAGATGTACACAGTCCACAGATCATGCAGCATAATGCCCGTCGATATACATATGAAGATGGCTACTTGATCTTCATTTTAGGAGTATACTCCCTCAGATCCAACAATTTTAGACATTGAACCACTTGTATACTCCCTCAGATCCAAAAATTTCAGCTCATTAACACATACTTAATTCACTATTATACAGAAATAAAAGTAGAGTACTTGTAGAACATTATCTCCATAGGTGAACATTTTTCCTGTCTTTGCTTATCTGCAACCTTATGAAACCATCCAACATTGTAATGCTAACATCTTCAACTCCTTTTATTAGCCTAATCAACGATGCAAAGTCGGAATCTTTTCTATTACTATTGTCTGATTATTTTCTCTCTGCTTCAAATCTCTGAGACATTTGCATATCACTTTGTTCAATTTCTTGTTAGATGCCATGTATGCATCAACTTGAGAAGATATGTTAGATTCTCCACCTCTACCTCTTCGAAGAGATGACTCGAGTAGCTGAATACTTTCTTTCATCTGTGAGAAAGTTTCTTGTATCCAAAACATTAAGGGACACATCAGAGACTTGTTCGAGTAATTTGGCATGTTTTTCATGAACTTGTTGGCTAATTGGCAACTTGAGGACATCGTCAACACAATCGTATAATTTTCTTTGTCCATCCAACTTTTGGTTTATCGTCGAGTTAGAAGATGAGGAAGTTCCTTCAGATGACTTCAACCTTTGTAACTGCTCCTCTGCACAAACAATGAGAGGATGAGCTGCTGTAGGCAAGCTCATGGAACGAACATTTGATTCACCATTTCAAGCTGTCGTCTTAATTTTCTTAGTACAGATAAATGACTATGAAGAATACTGCTTGTGAGACTGTTTCTTGGAGAATATTGCTCTAAGGGTGTGTTTGGTATGGATGAGAAACATTTTGTAAGTCATGCAAACGTTACCAACAAATATAACCCTTGGGAAAATGTTGTTTTTAACATTTGCATAACTTACAAAATTTTAGATTGTGGTATGATATTTTCTCATAAGATTTTCAATTTATTCAAAGAGGATTTTACACCCTGGCTAAAAAGGTCCATAATTCATCTAACCAAAAAAAAAAACGGTCATTTACTAAACAACTATCTCGAAATGGGACGACAGATGAAAATTTCACCCAACATAACACAGAAACCTTCCCTTTGGGTTGGGCCACATTCTTATGACAAGATAAGTGATCCAATGGGCCTTGTAAATCACTAACATTTGCATTACATGGCCAAACTGCTTCCTTATACCTTGTTCTTTTTTGGTTATCCATTCGATATCTGGAGCCCACATTGGAGCCCCGAGTAAATTCGAATCGCGCTTTGTAGGGCTCATTCGAGAGTGGCGCTTTCAACAACATTTTCTCCATATCCAAGGCTCGAACCCGAAACCTCTGGTTAAGGGTGAAGCAGTCTCACCATTGCACATAACTCTACAAAAGAAACACCTAATGACCTTGAAAACAAATGACCCCACTTGCTTTCAAGGTCAAAAATCAGATTTTGTTGAGCTTGAAATTTTATCTGTAGAACAAAAAAAAGAGGTCAAAAGTTCAAAATCATCCGCCTCCGAGGCCATTTATATAAATCACCCCATCGGTATTTTTTGGGCCAATTTCTCACTATTGACCAGTGAAGATACTTTTAAAGTCTCTTGCATTTCCACGTAACTTTTCTGTGAATATTTGCGGGCTTTCCATTTTTTCCCACATAAAAGCGACTGGATAACATTGCTGACACGTAGAAGCAACCCAAACCAACATCCAAATCTATGGCTTCCATTCAATTTCTCAAGAACTAGCAAAGACCATTTTTTTATTCTTTTGCATATATAATTGAGTTTTACCATAAATTCCCCAATTTTAAGAACAAGAATTGATCAATCTTGTTCCAACAATGGCCAATTCTGTACTCTCTTCCAATTTCTTGGGTTCACAAATCTTTGTCTCTCCTCCCACACCTAAAACCTCAAAGTATTTCCATTTTCACTCCAAAAGAAAGTGTCTAGTTACTCAATCAATACTCAACAAAAAACCCAATTCAGATAATTTCAAGAATGTTCCATCTAAAGCTGCTTTAGCTGCTTTACTCTTTTCTTCAATCACCCCACAAGCTTTTGCTCTTGATAATACAACCCCAGCAGCACCACCACAAGTGCTTGAAGCTGAAGCACCAAAACCCAGTGCCTCAAATTCATTACCTTTTGCTCAAAATATCATTTTGAATGCTCCAAAGACTCAAGCGCAGCCTGCTTCTGACCTTCCTGAAGGTACTCAATGGAGGTACAGTGAGTTCTTGAATGCTGTGAAGAAGGGGAAAGTTGAAAGGGTTAGATTTAGTAAAGATGGAAGTACCCTTCAGCTTACAGCTGTAGATGGGCGTAGAGCTAATGTAATTGTGCCTAATGACCCGGATTTAATCGATATTTTGGCGATGAATGGTGTTGATATATCAGTTTCTGAAGGTGAAGGGGGTAATGGCTTGTTTAGTGTTATTGGGAATTTGTTGTTCCCTATTATTGCTTTTGCTGGGTTGTTTTTCCTTTTCAGGCGGTCTCAGGGCGGCCCGGGTGGGCCTGGAGGACTTGGCGGGCCGATGGATTTCGGCCGGTCTAAGTCCAAGTTTCAGGAGGTGCCTGAAACTGGAGTGACTTTTGCTGATGTTGCTGGTGCTGATCAAGCTAAATTAGAGTTACAGGAAGTGGTTGATTTTTTGAAAAATCCTGATAAGTATACTGCTTTAGGTGCTAAGATACCAAAAGGGTGTCTTTTGGTTGGTCCACCAGGTACTGGGAAGACCCTTTTAGCTAGAGCAGTAGCTGGTGAGGCTGGTGTGCCATTTTTCTCTTGTGCAGCATCAGAGTTTGTTGAGTTGTTTGTGGGTGTGGGAGCTTCTAGAGTTAGGGATTTGTTTGAGAAGGCGAAATCTAAAGCGCCTTGTATTGTGTTTATTGATGAGATTGATGCTGTGGGAAGACAGAGAGGTGCAGGACTTGGTGGTGGAAATGATGAGAGAGAGCAGACTATTAATCAGCTTTTGACTGAAATGGATGGGTTCTCTGGAAATTCTGGTGTCATTGTTTTGGCTGCAACTAACAGGCCTGATGTTCTTGATTCTGCTTTGTTGAGACCTGGAAGGTTCGATCGACAAGTGACTGTGGACAGGCCTGATGTTGCTGGTAGAGTCAGGATTCTTCAGGTTAGTTTACTCTGAACATTGTTTTCTTCATTTTATAGATACGAGTATCCTATATCGATTGAATATTTATTTTGAAACCACCTTTGTATTAACATAGTGGTAGAAAGATTATCATGCTGCCTCTAGACTTCAAACAGTTTGTTTCAACCATGTTAATTGTTCCACATTATTGGTTAATAGAGAATCAAAATTGATTTACCAACGAATCGCGAAATGCTATGGTTCTTACATATAATTTCTGAATTATACAGAAGTAATTCATGAGGTTATCTTGGTTTTTCAACTTTATGCTTGTTGTAGTCTGGTGTTGGGTTCCTCATTCATCTTACTTTGGGAGAAAATTTAAAGTTGTGATAAATAGATATCAAAATTAGCAAACTAGTCTCCATTCTTTACGGGCATACATCATGTGGCAGAAAATAATGTGGTTAGTGTTTACCTTGAGGTAATGTGAGTGTTTACTATGTGCATGATCTATTGAGAAAATATTAACTTAGTTGAAATTTTGCCGAACAAGCTTGAGGTGTTCCACTTTGAAAAATGTTTTCCGTTTGCTGAACTGCTCGTCTTACTACTCTGTATGACAGGTGCATTCTAGAGGAAAGGCCCTTGCCAAGGATGTGGACTTTGATAAGATTGCCAGGAGAACACCAGGTTTCACCGGTGCAGATTTGCAGAACTTGATGAATGAAGCAGCCATCCTTGCAGCTAGGCGTGACCTAAAGGAAATAAGTAAAGATGAGATATCCGATGCTCTAGAGAGGATAATTGCTGGCCCGGAGAAGAAAAATGCAGTTGTCTCAGATGAGAAGAAGAAGTTGGTAGCTTATCATGGTACGGCAAAAACTAAATGACACACTTAGTAGTTACTTCCTCCAGATGATCTAGTTACTCGGAGCCTGTTTTTGATTGTGTGCTTACATTTGTATTACAGAGGCTGGCCATGCCTTGGTTGGTGCACTTATGCCCGAATATGATCCTGTTGCCAAGATATCTATAATTCCTCGTGGCCAAGCCGGTGGCCTCACCTTCTTTGCCCCCAGCGAAGAAAGACTTGAGTCAGGCCTGTACAGCAGGAGCTACCTAGAGAATCAAATGGCAGTTGCACTTGGTGGAAGGTCAGTTTTACCTATTATACCTGGATAGATGCTTATTTCTCCAGTCTATCTTGAACTTATAATATGGAAAGATGAAATGTCAGAAATAATATAAAGGGGAAGGGGTGATGCATATTTAAAGGATGAACATGAGTGTCGTGCTATTTTCATCTTTTGCTATACAGAATTGATACTGCTACAATAACTACGTTTTAATCTCATAAAGATGAGGTCAGATAAATGAATCTTCACTGATCATGTTGTTCTAT